CCATCAACAAACTTGAGCTGTGCCTTTGCTTAGAAACACCCTTCTCTCAGCCCTGCAGCCCACTCAGGAGGTGGGTAGGCTCCTTCCTTTGGCATCACACTCCTCGGACACTTCTATCATTCATCCATTTAACAAAAGGCCCTCATGTATGACCCCGTGCTCGGTACCATGACAGACAATGGGCAGAGATGATACTACCAGTCTTGTTTCTTGATCTCAAGCAAGGTAGTGACCAGCCCCTAACAAGTTCTGGTCTGGCCTTTGCCCAGAGCTCGTCCCTCACATGAGGCCCTCTGATCTCAGCTCACCAGCTTCATTTTGCTGTTGTCAACAGTCCCAAGATCTCTCCCACCATACGGAGGGAACACACTTCATGTAGTTACTTCCTCTGTCTCCCTCGGGTCCCAGGTTAAGATTTGCTTTCTTAGGGAAACCTTCATGTCCCCACCACTCCCCCATTTGGGACAGATTCCTCTTTTACATCCCAGTAGATCCATCTGTCCCTTCCTTCAGAACACTGACTCAGTGTCTGATTTTCTATGTATGGGTGTAATTACTCGACTGTCTTTCACTCTGCCCCGAGGTCTGTGGATGCAGGGAGTGTGACAGTTTTCACTTGTCATTCTGTGCACAGTCCCAGTATTGGATCTGTCAGGTGGAAGGCCCTCAGTAGACTGGTAGAGGGAAGGGAGGGGAGGAGGGAGTGTCTTGCAGGAGCCGGTCAGGTATTGAGAAGAAAACCATGTACACTCTCATATTTGGAGCAGAGTATGATAGTGGAGTTATACCTTGTGTGTTAAGAGAGCACAGAACCCAGCAGTTAGCTTATAGGGGTGTGGATGCAGGTGTGAAGTCATCAGCATATACCTCTGAGAAAGATGAGTAGGCATTCGATATGCAAATGAGGGAGTAAATGCGATTCCGGTAGAGGGGAGGGCCTATGCAAAGTTGTGAAAGAACAGCCGAGAGGTGAGTGTGACTGGAGTGAAGGGAGCAGATGGAGAAGGGGCTAGAGAGCTGGGACACAGATAATGCCCATTTCCTGTGGAATTTGAACATGTATGGGAAGAGCCAGAAATGGGTTTTAAGTAGAGAATAATATGATTTGCATTTTAAAAAGCCTTATTTTGGCAACTGAAACTCTCACACATGCCTTGAGGAATTGTAGCTACTCTGAAAAGCTATTTGGAAGTATCTGATAAAGTGAAACAATATACCTATTTTATAAATTGGTGATTCTACTTCTGAATATTTGCCTAAAAGTGAAAATTTATATCCAAAAAAGATTCACACAGAAATGTTCATGACAACTTTTTTGTAAGTGCCAAAATGGTAAACAATTCAATTTTCCATCACCTGTTGGATTACCTAAATGAAAAATAAAGTGTGGTATTTCCATATAATCGGGTGCTACTCAGCTGCGTAAAGGAGCAAAGTACTAATGAACGCAGACACCCAGATGAATCTCCTAGACATTATGTCGAGCCTAAGAATCCAGACACACGTAATCCACATGATGAGATTACATTTATGTTTAGTTAGAAAGCAGTCAAAGCTAATCTCTGGGAATAGAGGTTAGGACAGCCTCTGGGCATCAGGGGTTGACTGCACAGTCGCAAGGGAACTTTTTGGGGCAGTGAAAATGTTTCATTTGTCGATTGGAGGGGGTGGTTCCATTTAAACGTATCCAACTGTACACTTACAACGAGTGTGTTTTACTGTATGTGAATCGTGCGTATGCTAAGACCTCTTTGGAAGTAGTTTGGAGAATGCTGGATGACAGATTGAGACTTGACTTGGGGAGGTTATAAAAATGCAGTTGAGAAATTTCAGGGCCAGTATTTAAACAGTGCAGTGGGTTTGGGGGAAAAAGGGATGAAATCCTGGGTTGTTGAGGTGCTAGAATTGACAAGAATGAAATGTGAACAAGGATGGTTTTCGTAGCATTTTCACAGTGGCCAAAAAAAAAGTCTGAAAACTGACCATCAACAGGGGAATTGTTACTAAGTTGTAGAGCACCCTAACTGTGGGATATTTTGCAGCCGTTAATTAAAAATGGAGTTTGAGCTTTACTGCTGGACTCGGCAGAGGTACTTCTACAAGAAAAGGGGTGGGTGCACAGGTTTAATGTTGGAGTGTGTGCGTGTGTGCATGTGTATACCGGGGACGGCAGCAGTGAGGCAGGTGATGCGTCAGAGCGGGCGAAGAGGAAAAGCAGCCACTGAAAGCACGAATGGTATGATTAGCAATGCACGTAAAGCTACATATGTGCATGATATGTGCTATATATGTCTGTTCAGAAATTAGAAAACATGTGTTTATCTATTGACCAGAAAAGATGTCTGCTATACATTGCCAAGTGATAAAATTGCAGAGTTGGATCTATTTTGTTAAGCACAAACCTACAGAAGCTACCCGAGGAATGTGGGCACATGTTCGCACAACTCCAAGCATGGATCTCCGCACCTGGCTGTCCCTCTGCACCTGATGTAGGGACATCAGGCAAGAGGTGGAGGGATAAAATGGAGGATGAAGTGTAGCTTTTTACAAATAGACCTTGGAATTATTTTATATGTCGTGGTGGCCATTTGTCTATAATGATCTGTGACCTGTTGCCACTGTATAATAAACTATGCCAAAACCTTGGTGGGCTAAAAACAAACAACAACAAAATAAACACCCACCTTTTTGTTTAACAGATGGCTGAATGAATGGGGGGGATTGTGTCTGCCAGTGAGGAGGCATTGGTTGCTTAATATTCATAAGGAAGTTTACAGCTTTCAAAACACTCCTCTGTAATTCTTCATTATCCTCACCTCTCTGAATTTTAATTTCTTTCCCTGCATCTGTCTCTATCACTAGCCCACGAGTTTGAGTGCTATGACCATGTCTCATTTATCTTGATAATCTCAATATTTAATATGGTTCCTAGAACATAGAAGGTGCTAATAAATTCTGGAAGAATACATTTTTACAAAACAACAACTTTATTTAGCTCATGAGTCTGTGAGTTAGTCCGGGCACAGCTGGGTGGCGCCTCTTGTCTTGACAGACCTCGCAAACACACCTGGGGGGTGGTGGTGGGTGGCTGGCTGAGGTGATGGGCCCGCATGTTGCCATGGTGATGTACAAGCAAAAGGGCCAGCCCAGTCCTAGGAGTGCTTTTCAATTTGCTGTTATATTAGAGTTTTCTACAGAAAAACAGAAGCAATGGGGTACATGTGTGCGTTTCATAGAAAGGTTTATGAGAAGCAATGGGCTCGTGCCAGAATGGAAGCCAGGAAGTTCAGACCCAGGAGGGCCAATGGCATCACTTCGAGTCTGGAGACAGGACCAGTGCCCTGCCCACCTGGAAGATCCAGGAGAGCAGGGCCCTTTCTGTTGTAGCCTACGCAGAGCTCATTCCTTGTACGGAGTGTACAAGGGCTCACTTGGGAATACAACGTGTTAAAACATGGTTCCAGGGCAGGTGTTGCTCACCTAGTTCCCTGTTTGTTGAGACTGCGATCCTGACTTCATTGCCTGTTAAAGTTAGGCCACCACAAGACCTGTCTTCCCACAGGGCTTTGTGAAAAGAACAAGGAAGATCGAGACTGACTAACTCTGTGTTACAGAATGGGGAACATTATAGAGCTTACTTTATCATTAATACTACAGCAGTTAAGGTGCTCCTTATCTATCTAGGTGTGGGGATAAATTGTTTGCCTAGAGTCTCCCTGCCACATTCCCCGCACTTTGTCCCATGGTCCTATTTCCCACAAGCTGCTGTGGAAACAGGGTCTCCTGTGTACATCCCTTCCGATTTTAGAATGCTCTCCGTCTCCTGTATTAACACCTGCTCTAGGTTCAGACTTCCCCAAGATTTCCTCGAGTTACCTTTAACCTGAGCTCACAGTTTTCTCACAGGACGTCAAGGAGCGTCCCCATGGGCAGGTTTATCCCTGTCCCCTGATATTGTCACCCTTGGAGCACATGTTCCTTCTGCAGGAGGAGCCAGTCTACCTTTTATCTCTCAAGTTCAGCTGCCTCTGAGAGCAGATCTTCGGGAAGGGAGGCGGGTTCTATCCCGTGGACGTTGTAAGAAAAGCAGTTCGCAGCAGAAGCAACTTACAGAAGGATGGATGGCCCTTGCTTGGAGTAACCTCCCTGACACCTTGTACAAAATCATCCAGAACCCGGGCCTGACTCTTCTACCACATTGTTAGTCTCCTAGGAGCCTTCCAGATGGTACCGGAGCACTGCTTTGTAGAAAGGCATCTTCTGTTGACCAGATTTTAAGAGGAAATCTTGTACTCAGCCATCAGAATGCTTTGTAATGTAAATTTACAACATAATTGCAGTAAAAGCCAACACTACATGCCAGGCACTGTTCTAAGTACTTTACAAGCATTAACTCGTTTAGTTAGTTTTACTTTTATTCCCATTTTATAGGTGTTGAAACTGAGGACAGAGGGGTTACCTAATATATCACGGTGAGGGGGCCAGTGAGGGGGAGCCCAGCCCTGAGCCTCCCCTCACCAGGAGACCCATCCCGGAGAGGGGCAGAGGGGAGCCTGGGAGAGTGGAGAGGCCGAATTACCAGATGGACATGGGAACAGGAGAAGGAAATTGCTGGGAAAACATGAGATTTCTGAGGCAAACCTTATATGTGAAGTCCCTACAGCTGAAATATAAAATTACCCTGGTTTTCTTAGGCAGGTGTGGTGGAAAGAGCTGTGGATTAGAAGTCAGATGGCCTAGGATCCATCCCACCTGGCTCTTCTGCCGTCTGCGTGTGACACAGAAAGGTCACTCTGTCACTCTGAGCCTGTTCCTTCAGCTCTCTGACAGAAGTTTTGCCTGTCGTTAACCCTAGAAATGATCACCCGAGTCTGTTTAGCATCACTGTGGAAAGTGCTTCGTGGAAGACAGTACCAAAGACTTCCATTTCTCGATGATCTCAGGGGGACTTTGGTCAGGCATCTGAGTGGAATAAATGCCTTTCATTCATTTGTTTCTAGGGTACCATATGTGTATGGCCGGTGGGACCCACACTTGGAAATGCTGACAACAGGCTTCAAAGACAGCTGAGCCCCACGAGAGACCAAGAAGGCCCATGGCTCTGGCTGCGTCTCTCAACATGAGCAGCCCACAGTAAGTGCGTTGGGAGCTGCTCCCTGTGGGTGCCGAGTGCAAACTCAGTGGGAACTGTGGGGTGGCAGTGGCTCCCTTTCCAGGTGCTTTTGTCCTTGACCCCAACATCAAAATGATTTGTTAGAATCTGCGTTTTCTCTGAGTTGCCTCACTAATATCATCTCATATTTTAGTTCAGAAAGGCAGAGGAATTCTGCAGTCTGAAACGGTTGCTTGATCCTCTCATACATGTGAGGTCTCAGACTCTCTCATGTGTGTGGGCTTCACAAATGGATGTGTTACTAAATTTGGTTATTTTCTCTTAAACAAACAAACACCTGTTTTCAAATCCTCCCAGAAGACAAGGATCTTCTGATTCAGGGAACCACTGTACATGTTTTCTTTAGCAGGAGGCCACAGAAAATGGGGAAGCCTTTCAAAAGCAAAATTTAAGACAAGCTTAGGAAGTGCTTAAGGCGAATTAATAAAACAGGCATTCTGTGTAGCTCAGTGGATTGAGCACAGGCCTGCGAACCAGAGTATCGCGGTTCAATTCCCATCCAGGGCACATGCCTGGGTTGCAGGCCAGTTCCCAGCAGGGGACACAAGAGAGGCAACCATACATTGATATTTCTCTCCCTCTCTCCTTCCCTTCCCCTCTAAAGATAAATAAATAAAATATTAAAAAAAACCACATTCCGAGGAAAGTTAGAAATCATGACTGGGTTTCTTGAAAGTAGGCTTTATGAATCCAGGAGCAGAACTCTTCAGACAGAATTGCTTTTCGTTCTCAAACCTGAGAGGCTATGAGTACCAACCACTTAATCTTACAAAGCACCAGCACACTGGTCAGTTGTTTTGTGGTTATAATTTAATGGCAAAAATGCCAAGGTGAGCCCTGGCCGGTATGGCTCAGGGGGTTAGGTGTCATCCCACAAAGTAAAAGGCCAAGGTTTGATACCCAGTTAGGACACATGCCTAGGTTGCTAGTTCGGTCCCTGGTCGGGCGCCATGAGAAGCAAGCAATCAAAGTTTCTCACATGAGTATTGCTCTCCCTCTCTTTCTTCCTCCCTCCCTCCCTTCCCCTCTTTCTAAAACCAAATATATAAAATAAAAAAATGCCAAGGTGAGAATAGCACTCCTGTCCCACATTACAGACCCATAGCCGGCCTGCCTAGCTAGGAGCCGGCTGCTGTCCCCTGGAGCAGGTACCCACTATTGCCACAGCAATTCGGTGGGACAACCAACCACAGAACCTCAGTAGAATGCGGCAGGAAGTGCTTGTGCCTTCATGTCTGGGGTGGCCAGCGAGGCAGCTCTGCCCGTCCTGGCCGATCACCCCCGGGTGTGGGCTCTGCTGGTGGTCGCCTTTTCTAGGTGACACTGGAGTCCACTCCTTGTGGCCCCCATTCTCCCCTGGGCAGGCCGGACACCTTCTGATGGCTCTATCGCAGGGGCAGCAGCATCATCACAAATCCACAGGTGCCTTTTCAGGCCTCTGCTTGTGTCACGTTTGCTAACATCCTGTGGACCAGCACAGGTCACGTGACTGAACAGAGCATCATGGATTGGGAAGTGTGCCTTCCTTTCGGTGGGAGAAGCTGCGGGAAAGGGAGGCTGAACAACTGAGCCATTAGTAAACATTGTCCACCCTCCTGTTTTTACCTAGCATCAGGGTGTTTTCTCAAAAGTCAGGCTGTCAGCTGTGGGGCCTTACCTCCCCCCTCAGGACGCTTCATCTCCTGTGGTACCCACCGGCCTGAAGTAGTGCTGGGCCACTGTGAGCCCTGGCACAAGGGAGCAGAGGGAGCTAAGTCAGGAGGGCAGACGGCCTGTTCCATGCTTCTCAGAGCCAAGTACTATTGGTCCTCGGAATTCCCCATCCATGCAGAAATACCCCAGATCAGAAAACTCTGTTCAGTCCACGGTGCCTAGTTTCCATGAGCATTCCAGAAGGAAAGAAGAGATTCAACCCAGCATCCCCCACGTGAACACCCACACCTTTATTTCAGTCGTTGAGAAACGCTAGAGCCTCACACCCTGTGCCTGTTCTGTCTGAGGCCGTTTCGTGAATGTCGTGCCGAGAGTGTGCATCCTGTACTTCACGGGCCGTGGAAAGCAGAGGTGCAGACAGGCCTGCAGAAGAACATTGGGCATCGGAAATTACTTGCTGAATCTGGTGTAGTTTAGGCAGCTAACTTGTGGTGTTCAAATAAAAATTCCACTTTTCCCTCAATTACCTGGATGATTCAAGCAAAAGAGAAGGAGGTAGATTTAGCTCTGAACTTCGTGGGTACCTGCCACCAAGTATTATTGGTTAGATTTCAACAGTGGTTAGGGGGAAAAAAAGGTTAGTATTCAAAGCTCCCCACCCAAGTGGGGGACTTGTTTTGATGTGCCCTCCCTGCTTTCCTTGTGGAATGAGATGTGGTTTCTGTGCAGGCTGACTGCCCATTCCCCCTCCACCGCCAGGCCTGCCCCAGGAGGAGGAATTTCCGAGGTGGAGATCATCTCCCAACAAGTGGACGAGGAAACCAAGAGCATTGCTCCCGGGCAGCTGGTGAACTTTGCCTATCGGGACTTGCCCCTGGCTGCAGTCGACCTCTCCTCCGCGGGCTCGCAGCTGCTGTCAAATCTGGACGAAGACTACCAGAGAGAAGGGTAGGTGCCTGTCTCCTGCATAACTCCCTGGGTTTCCATGGGGATAGGGGCAGACAGAGGTCAGAGATGCTGAGCAGGAGGAGGCCCGATGTTCCATCAGACCACCAAGGCCCCTTTCTCCCCAGATGCTGTTGCCTCAGTGAAGGCTGTGGGCTCCGGACTTACCTGTCATTGTGGGACCCAGCCTGTTTTGTAGCATTGGCTTGGGCATCAGAGAATCATAACATTTCAGGACTGACGTGTTTTGTGGTGGCCCATCCGACCCCTCTCTGCACACTGGGGACCTGTCCAAGGTCACAGAGGCCAGAAGGGATGGATTTGGCCTGCAATGCCCTTGGTACCCTCTGTCAGCCAATGCTCACCAGGGAAGAGGCTGGCAGAGAGCACTCTGCACAAGGTGGGGTGCTGAGCTTGTTGGGGTGTAGCGGCACTGATCCGGGAGCTTTGCTGCCCCCTTGGCATAGGACAATTCAAAGGTGTGGCCCCTACCTCCTCCTCCTCCTTCTCCTTAGCTTGTCTGTCAACCTAGGTGCCTTTGTTCCCCAGTTAACATCTCGTTAGCCTGGTCTGTCTTACAAACATACTTTCTGAAGGTGAACAGTTGAGTTAGAGCTGGTTTGAAGACCAGAGCAGAGTCCTGGAGTCACCCAGTGGGTCAGACGTCCCCACCCCCCACTGTTCCATGGCGCAGACATGGAAACACTGGCCAGGATCTTTGAGCCACTTCTGGGCCACTCTCTTCCTCAGGTGCCTGTAAACATTTCAGAACATGCTGGCTGCTTTGACTATGGAAATGAAGGGTTGCTGGGTTATTTCAGAAGCTGATGAGAAATATTGGCTCGAGATAAATTTTCAGAGCTTGGATCCCCTGTGCTTGTTTTCCAAAAGGGCTGCCGCTTTCCTGAGAGAAATTGCCTAACAGTTGTGAAACCATAAACCTTTTGTGAAAACTTCACCCAGTGGCTCTCTCTGAAAATATAACTTTCTCCGAGTGTTGTGCATAGATTTGGCAGGACACTGTGGGGAAAGGACAGGCAAGCTGGGGTGAGATAGCTAAGGGGTGGACGCCGGGTGGTGGTGGCTACCCTGAACAGGTACTCTCAGCAGGTACTCCCAGGTCTCTGCTGGCTCCAAGGCTGAGCTGAGGCCCTCAAGGCCCCTGAGCCGGGGCCAGCTTCGTGCACGCGTGGCCTGTGCAGTTGCTTGGTTTGATGTTGCGCTGCCGCCGCCTGGAAACTCTGAACAAGGGAGTCATGCATTTGCACTGAGCTCCACAAATTATGTGGCAGGTGTGTCCCTCCCGAGCACCAGGTGCCACGTTGCTGCCCTCTAGTGGCCTAAAGTGGAAGTGCGGCTTTGTAATGCCCCTGCTGGTCCAAGTTTCTCAGGGCCAGAACCCTGGCGCCCCCTCCTAGTGGGAACAGGAGAAGGAACAAAGCACATGGAGGCCCAGCCTTACCGCTGCGTTTCCTTCTGAACTGGGTCTCTGCGGAGTCTCCCCCATCAGGGAAAATGCAAATGAGGCGCCCACACGGCAGAGAGGCCCTTGATGTGATTTGAGTGCCCAGGTGTGCCCTGGAAGCTGCTCCTGTGGGGCAGCAGGAAGCAGCAGGTGAAGGGATTTGTCTCTGCTGCCTGTGCTCTCTGTGGGGCTCTTGGCAGCCAGGGGCTTCCTGAAGAAGGAAGGAAGAGCAGGCCCAGGACAGATGCCAGGGAAAAAGGAAGCAAAACAAAAGCACATTGTGGGGGGGTGGGGGGGGTGGCTCTCCTCAAGGCTTTTTGGCTCTTGCTGCATTTCCTGGGGTTCTCCCAAAATTTCCCACCTGGCCCTTTCTGAAGCAATGCACAGCAACAGTGTTTATAGTTCTGGTGGAAGTCTTGTCAGACAATCTGTTCCTACGCAGGGAAGTGTTATATACGGGCCTGAATTTTCTCTGCGGGGAAATGAAGGGACCTCAGGGACCCAGCACCCCGCCATTCGCTTCCCTTGAGCTCAGTGATATACTTCAGTGTTTTTAAGTTTCCCAGAATCTGAGAACATTAGAGCTAGAAAACACCCCAGACAGTATCTATTCTCCATATAAGATTTTATTTATTTGTTTTTAGAGAGGGGAAGGGAGAAAGATAGAGAGGGTAAAACATCATTGTGTGGTTGCCTCTCACACGCCCCCTACCGGGGACCTGGCCCACAACCCCGGACATGTTCCCTGACTAGGAATTGAACCGGCAACCCTTTGGTTTGCAGGCCAGTGCTCAGTCCACTGAGCCACACCAGCCAGGCCCTATTCTCCATATTCTAAGAAGACAGCGGAGTCCAGAGTGTGGAAGCACTTGTGCAAGGCCACACAGCGGCAGACCCAGCACCATCTCTGGCTCGTGGTCCAGGCCAGCACTGTGGGCCTCCGTGTGTCATCCGTCCCTTTCCAGCATCACAGGTTGTGATTCTGGTTGTCATCATTGCCCATGTGATGCCACCGCATGGCTGCCCTGTCACATGCCTGTCCCCATTCTGCTGAGGGAGGCAGGGCAGGACACGGGTAGATGGCAGCTCTGTGGCCGTGTGGAGAGGGTGCGCCAGAGGGTCGTGGGGAGCAGGCAGGAGACTTTGTCACAAATGGGGAAGTGAAGGAAGGAATGAAAGACGTTCAGCCTCTTGTACTTATTTATACTTTAGGGTCCTCAAAGGCCTAACCTGAGAGGTCAGAGGCCAGACCCCCAGAGGGGAGGTGCCTGGAGGGAGGCTGTGGAGACAGAAAGGGGTGTTGTCACTTGGGATGATGCCAACGGACGTTTCGGCCAGGGCTTCTCAGTCAGAGGAAGAAGACCTGCCAGGGTGTGGGGATGGTTATGAGATGTCAGCTGGAAAACAGGTCCAGGTGGCAGCATCTGAAGTAAAGACTGGGAACATTTCAGAGGTGCCAGCAGACAAAACCTGGAGGCAGAAGGCGGGGAGCGGAGGAGCCTGCTAAGCTGGAGTCTAAATCACACTCCGAGCTCCCTGTATACTCGCTCAAGGACCCACTCCTGCGGAAAGTCCCCTGTCCCCCACGCCACCCAGGCTGGGGCCTGCCTCTGCCATGGCGTTTGTGATGCTGGGCTGTCTGGTCTGCCTGGTCTGCTCTCCAGTCTGTCCCCCTGCCCTGGCTTGGGGTCCCTTAGGGCAGACATCAATTCTTTCGAGCCTGGAGCAGAGCGAGTGTTGAGGAAGGAAGGAGCGACTTGAAAGAGTAAGTGACTGGGTGGGTGAGGCCGTCTAAGATAAGGATTGAGAGAGAAGGAAGCCAGTTCCGCTGGGAAAAGTTGGGGACTGGCCCCAGGTGTATGTCAGGTGGAAGAAGAGCCACAGGGATGGACCAGGCTCTGGACCAGAACTCGGGCTGTGGTCACGGCCGGCTCATCTCTGAGCTACTTTCACCTTTCTACAAAGTCATCCTAAAATAAATGATTGGCCTCAGAACATGCCAACCTCGCTTAGTACTTTTTAGCATCCTTTTAGAAGAATGAAAAGCCTTCTGGGGTTTAGGGTTGAAAGTCAGGTTCATTTCTGCCATGACCTTGCAAGTGCAAAGTCTGGAAGTTCATGGCTCTTGAAATCTTTGTGTTCATTATTCTCAGCAAAATAAACCCTTGGGTTCCCACCTCCTCGCGGGTACGGGGTGCACAGCCCCAGGACACCACTAGGCGGCAGCAGAGCACCTCCTACTGCTCTGCAGGGTGCTGAGCGCTGCCCGGAGAAGGAAGAGCAATTTAAACCCAAGCTCAGGTCCCCCAAGGGAAGCGAGCTGAATTTATGGGGCTCTGGGGCCCCCAGCCAACTGTGGGGGCATCTCGGATCTGGACTTTGGCCAAATAGAAGAAGGGGGTGCATTGATAACTCAGTATTTGCCAGACTGCAGCTCAGAACAGGCTGAGCAGGACAGACATGGCTGTGCCTGAGAACTAGCCCACCGGCTGGCTCACACCCCATTGGGCAGCTGGCCTCATCCGGGCAGCCCTGCCCACGCATGGGTGGCACAAAGGAGACTTAGACTGGGGGCCAGCTCCCTACTTGGAGGACTCTGGAGGCGGGAGGGCATCTCACTGGACCCAGCAGCACCCATTCCCTCCCCTGAGTGAGTCTCCAACCCATGGCAGCCCTTCGGAGACGTGCCAGCAACACGTCACACCCCTCAGGTAGGGCGGCCAGTCCCCAGTGTGTCGGCTGTTGTGCCCCCCAGAAGGAGATTGGGACTTTGCCAAGTGGGGTGACAGCTCCTCCCTCCTGGCCTGAGCTCCTCGCTAGTTGACATTTCTGAGGATGCAGGAAACCTGAGATTCTGGGACAGCGAATGTCAGACCCCCCCGTGACCCCAGCTGCACAAGGCCTGGCTTCCTCCTCCTGGCTCCCAGCTCCCCTCTCTGGCCCCTGCCCCATCCCTGGCATGGGGCTGACCTTCAGCTCTGATTGCAGAACAGAAGCTGCTCGTTTGGAGACTTCACTTTCTTCAGTTCCCGCAAAGGGCTGGGAAAGTCTCCACTCAGCTCCAACCTGAGATTTCCTGTTGGGCCAAGCGCGCCAGTGTGCTGACTTTCTGGCTCTGTGTGTGCTGCTGCCTCTTGGAATTGGTGCGGGGCGAGGAGGATGCTGGACAGGACTTTTCCTGTGGTTGCTGCCCTCCCTGGGGGTGTGAGAAAGGAGCCCCACCCCCCACTCATTGCAGGCACTTGCTTTGTTTTTCACTTTGTTTGGTTTTGCACGGTGGGCTGAGACCAGGAGCCCATCCCACAGTCAGAACCCACCTACAAGGCCTCAGGCTCGATGAGGCAAGGGCCCTGCCACACTCAGGCACTCGGCACCCAGCACGGCGCCTGGCACTGAGTGGGTGTGTACTACTGGCATGGAGTGAACATTGGCACTTCTCGTATGTAGATTATTAATGCCTTTTCTGAGGCCCATGTACTTACATCCTCACAGTACAGACAGAGGGCAGTTGTGCGGTGAGCATTTGTGTCATCGGGTTCACGTATGTTATTTTTAGTATTTTAGGACAGCGACCCTGTGAAGGTTGCCGATGCTCCCATTGGTGGATTAGGAAACAGGCTCAGAGATTGCACTCGGAGTTCGGTTGCTGAGGCTACAGTTCGGAGACACCAGTTGCCACCAAAAGCCAAACAGATGGAAAAGTCTGGCTCTTCCCCAGGGTCTGTGTCATTAGAGAAAACAGTGGAAGGAGCTGTCTTTTCAAACAACGGTGTGAGTTACCGTTCGTAAAGCAGTTACAACAGCTCCTGGTTCAGCATCAGTGCCTTGTGAGGGTTGTTAGATCAGGGACAGTGGAGGCCAGGGTGGTGCCAGAGGGCTTTCTCTGACTGTACTGTCACCCTGTGGAACAGACGCAATAGAGAAACGTGAAGTGGGGACATTCTGCTGATGGTTGAAACCACCGCCAGGTCAGGGAGGTCCAGGCCACGTCAGCATCACAGATGTGCAGTGTCTTGGGCACGGGTGGGTCTCGAAATGTGGGGCTTGAACCTGGAGTCCAGGTGTCCTCGGATGACCCACCAGTGAGGAGGCTCAGGGGTCTGTACACTCCTTGGAACGTGTACTCAGTGTTGTGCTTTGGCGCATTTTGAGGGGTTTGGGGTTGTCATTTTCATCCCTTTGCAACCCAGAGCAGTTCTGATCCTCTGCCCAGCAGTGCCACCGTGGTCAGTGCCTGGCAAATGGGCAAGTCTGGGCTCTGGACTTCACTGTGGACAGACAGCTGACTCACTGTGACCCCTCCCCCCATCCCTTTCCTTTGAGGACTCAGCAGTTGAAAATCTCAGTGCAGGGCTGATAGGGCCATCTGACCTGGATGCCTACAGGGCAGTCATCAGCTTGGCTGCGGCCTGCTCCCTCCCCTGGGCACGTGTGACTGCAATTTTGGGGACAACTTGAGGGTCTCCACAGTCCCCACCCAGCCAGTGCTCCCTCCCTGCAGCCTCAGCAGCCAGATGTTGCAGTCCCGTGCTGCAAGGCCAGACCCCAGAGGAGCAAATGCAGACCCTGCCTCACAGGCACCTCTGGCTCCACCTCAGAAAGGGTGGCTCAGCCCCAGGGTTGGGACCACTGCCCAAGAGAATATAAAGCAGAAGCAGACAAGGCTCCTAGCCTTTTCCTGCCCCAGCCAGGGTTCCTCTGGGCCCTCAGCAGGGATTGGTGGGGACCTCACGCTGAAACACTGACGCCTGCCAGCGGGGCCATCTGCTCCGTGGCATTTGGGCCTCTGGCAGCCCAAGGCCTCCTGGAGCTGCTCCTCCTGCCGCAGCAGGACAGGAAATTGGGACATGCCTGCCCTCTAGTGGCCATTCTGGGGAAGTGCCAGTGGGAACCAGGCTCCAGGGCTCAGATGGGCTGGATACTGAGCCTTGGAAGGAAAGCACCTCCCACCGCTGAAGACTCAGTGCTGATTTCCCTTTTGGCCCACCGAGCTCCCTGAGTCATTATTTAACCACTCAGAGATATTTAAAAACTGGACATGTTCTATCTTTTTGCTACAACACAGTCTCCTAGGAATGTCTGAGCCTTCTGAAGCTCAGAGGACATTTTATTAGCTTCTTGGGATTTCTAAACATCGGGTCAGCCAGACCGTCTACTGCTTTGCCCTCTCCGTCCTGGAGCTTTTGGGCCCACAGCCCTGCTCTCCAAGGTGCTGCAGTGTAATTGAGGCTCAGGAAGCCCTTAGCACTCCCCAAACCCACACACTGGGTATCATGCTCAGCATGATACCATCCCGGAAAATGACCTTCACCGTGGCCCTTTTTATTTTTAACTGCAAAGATGCTTAGCTGAAGTGCCACTTGGCACTGAAACGGCATCAGTTTTAGGAGAAGGCACTGGGTTCTCGAGGGCAGGGGGTGGGAGCTGGGCCCCCTTTGAGGCCTGCAGCAACACCCACGTTGGGAGCAGTTGACAGGAAGCTGGGGGGAAGTGAGAGCTGGGTGGCTGGGTGAGAAAGGTGTGGAAGATTAAAATAGGGCCCAGGAAGGGGGGCAGGAGTGTCACTTGTGGGGAGAGAAGGAGGGTGTAGGTGAGACACACGGTGGATCAGGAGAGCAGGTCAGCTGAGTAGTGACAAAGAAATCTTAAACTTCAAAGGATCTTTCATGCACCTGCGGGCACCTCAGCGTCTCTGGGCCTCTGTCCAGGTGGGGCACACTGTCCCCTGGAGTTGCAGGTACAGGCTACACGCCCAGTCCTTGTGGCCACTCCTGCACAGACACACCTGGCACTGTCCACTGGTGGCTTTTGTGGCCTTCCCTTCACTGGCACGGTCTCTCATCCTGTGTCCCCAGCTTAGTGAAACCCTTCCTGGGGCTAGTTTTCTGAGGCTGGGGATCGAACCCCAGCCTTTGTGCTTCCCCAGAGCTGAGGACAGTGCCTTCCATTCCCAGGCCCCCTCATGGGCCCCCCTCCCCCGGATCCTGCATCTCTAACGGGAGTGGATCAAATGCCCAGAGAGACCCCTCTTTGAAATTCTACTCTGCGCCTCTTGAGTAGGTTGTGTTTCACAGGGAAGCATGTAGGGCGGGAGGAGTGACAGAGGGGGGTTGAGAGCAGGGCCTCGGGGTCTCCCCCTCTCAGTGCCTGCTGCCCACTCTTGTCCCCGCAGGTCCACCTGGCTGAAGCCGTGCTGTGGGAAGAGAGCAGCCGTGTGGCAGGTATTTTTGCTCAGTGCCAGTCTCAACAGTTTCCTGGTAGCCTGTGTAATATTGGTGGTGATCCTCCTGACTCTGGAACTTCTAATAGATATAAAGCTTCTCCAGTGTGAGTAGCAAGAGGGATACCTACGCAAATACGTGCGATGTCGATATTCCATGTGCATCCGTCCGGGCTCCCCAACCAGGGTGCGATCTGCCCCCATCCGACACCCTGGCCTGACACCCCCGCCCCTGACCCTCGGGATCACCACCAGGGAGGACAGTGGGCAGCTGCTCCCACTGCCCCGCATCAGTCCACCCCGAGTGGCCACTTCTGGGTCCTCCCCGGCATTTCACCATCCGAAACTGATGAAGTCAGAAGTGTAGGGGCCCCTGTATGCACTTCTTTCTATTGTTCCCATTTGGAATTTTCCAGGGGGCGGTTTTCTGGAGCTTAAAGAGAGTTCCCATCGTGGAGATGTATCACTTGGTTGTAACTTGTGACAGCAGCAGTGACACTGCGGCTCCTTGTGTTTTTATCCGGTGTGAGTGGGATGGTGTGAAAAGCACTTCCCTGGGACTGGACCCCGGTGGCAGCGGCCCTGTGAGACGGCGGGGCTGCAGGCAGGGGTGTGAGCCCAGAGGAGCTGGAGGCGTCCCCAGGCCAGGAGCCCTGGGGCTGGGGCTGGGGGCCACCAGGCCAGGTATTGGCGTGGCCCGTCCCCCTCGCAGCACAGGTCCTCACTGGGTCTGAGCTGGCCCTGAGCTGGCTCTGGGTTTAAGGAGGCTGATGCCCACTCATCTGTGGCCTTTTCTGTCCTGGTGGGCACCAGGGCCACAGGGCTGTCCCAGCAGACAGCCCCCTGCGTGGTGCCCTGGGGGAGGGCAGCTGAGACTCTTGCTTTGCATGAGCGAGTGGTTCTGTGGAGTCCTGGGTTCCCGTATTTCCCAGTTCAGAAGGTGGGTCATTCAAGTGCAAATAAAGAAGAGATTCTTGGATCCCCTTAAATCCAGCCACCCCAAAGCCATCAGGGGTCTGGGACTTGTTTTCTCAAATGCCCCCAGGCCCTTGACTAGAGCCTCCATTCAGGTCTCCTTCCGAGTCCCGAGTCGACTGGCCCTTCTGACGCTGACAGAGAACGGCAGCAGCACAGGGTGGCCTCTGTCTGACCAGCCTCGCTGGGTTCCGCTCACGGAGGCTTCAGGCACAAGGCGACCAGCACGGGTGTTACAGTCAGCCTGGCTTCAGTAAACCACGTTGTGTACTTCCCGCCCCACGCATCACACAGCCACTGTGTTCAAGGTCTGCCCATAACAGCGTCTTTCTTTCCCTGTGGTGGGACGCAGCCAGGCGCGCGTGGTTCCTGGTGTGTCAGGTATCAAGTTGAACTGGGAGCCCGGCCGACCTTGGATTTTTCCTGAAAATTAAATGCCCAGGAGATTGACTTTGGTGGGAGATCCAATAGCAGCTCGTAAAAGGGCATCTTAAATTCCATAGAACGCACAGAGATTTATGGCTCCTCCGAAGCAACTGTAAAAAAAAAAAAAAAAAGCACAGGAATTTATTTGAGAAATAACGGGGAAAGAATTCATGTTTTCAAACTCACCTGGAGGTCCCTTCAGAGCCACACAAGCCTCGGCCTCTCGGTCCCACTGGTGCTAATGTGGCTGAGACAGAAGGAATCCTGGCATCTCCTGGCTCCATGCTGACCCGATGCCAGGAGACCCGGAGTCCCCTGAGGGGAGCCTGGTATTGCAGCCTTCCCTCCCGCGCCTCCTCCACTGCAGACCTGGTTTCTCCCCCCCATGCCTGTTCCCCAATCTCAGAGCCTTGGGGAGGCTGCGGGGTCCGGCCTGCCCCAGTGGTGGGTCTGGGCGTTGCTCCCACTTTGGTCCCCAGGGGACGCTGAGCTGTGTGCTGAGCAGGCCACGCTGGAGCCCACAGGAAGCAGCACGTGCTCTCAGCAGGGTTCCTGCACCCGGTGGGCCCCCCTGCCCCAGCAGGTCCTGCCAGCCCTCCAGGCTCTGCACCAAAGCCCACCCGGCCCAGCCCTGGGCCCTGGCACCCTGCAGTGGGCCTGCCCCTGATGAACTGCTCCCTGCTCGGGTGGGGGGCCGACCTGGCTCCTGCAGTTAACAGGCCTCCTGGCGCTGGTGCCTGTGCTGCAGGACCGCCCAGGGAAGGTGGGCGGGCGTGGTCAGCGCCGATGCACTGGCCTCTGGAAGGCCAGTGGGGCTGCTGGGACGCGTAGCAGACCCAGCCGCTTGCTGTGCCACCTGGGAGGCTGGCATCCCTTGGCCCCGTGCCCTCTGCCTGTCTTCGTCCTAGCCTGTTTTCTGGGACACCCTGGCCCACACCGCCATCTCTGCCACTCCCTTTTCAGAATGAAAAGCCAGAGTGAGCTCGTCTCCGACCCTGACGCCTGTGCACGGCGCCCCGGGCAGGACCCTGGTGGCGGTTTCTAATGGGACCCAGCCCGTTGAGGCTGAAGGGCTGAGCCAGAGCTCTGAGATGCAGCCCGTGGGCCTGTCGTGGGGCGGGCGGGGGTGGGGGGATGGAAGAAAGGATGGCATCGCACCCACCCATCTCCCACCACCTCCTTCGTAGACAGCCCATGGTGGCCTCTGGCCCGATTTCACCCAGGCCCACCATTCATGCATCGGCTGGTCCCAGAGGCGGGCCCAGGCTGGGAAGCCCCTGTCCCGATGCCTCCCAGTCCTTGCTGCTGAAACGGACTCTGCCCTTGTGTGTGTTGCAGTTTCCAGTGCTTTCCAGTTTGCCGGTGTGATTCACTGGATCAGTCTGGTCATCCTCTCCGTGTTCTTCTCAGAGGTGGGTGCACACCGGGCCCCGAGACCTCCTCTGGCATGCCCTTGAGGCTGCGGGGAGGGAGACACAAAACAGGGAGAGAGTCCTGTGCGTGGACATTGCCAGGGGTGCAGCCTGGGCCCTGCAGTGGCCCCTGAGCTGTCTCCATGGATGAGCAGCTGTGGTCCAGGTGTGGGCGGGTTGTGACTTGGGGAACGTGGGACTGGCAGGATGTCACTGAGGGAGAGCAGGTGGTTTGTGGGGCCAGTGAGGAGCATGTGGGGGTGGAGGCTGGGCCAGGGACCTGGAGGTGAGGACAGCGGTGAGGAAGCTGTGGCCACTGTGGCCACAGTGCTGGGCACAGCTGGCTGCAGGCCTGTCCCTCGGGGCTGAAAGGCAGTGGACTCGACCAGGTGCTGTAGGGCTCACGGGATCTGGCCGGCCCAAGCGCTGGGCTACCTTAGTGGGAGCAAAAGGGCAGGTCTCCGGAGTGGGGATCAGCAGGATGGACACCCCTGCCCTTTCTAGTTGGCAGATAAAGCCCATGTCTGTGTCTGATGTGTGAGGTAAGAGGGAAAACTCTGGGTACTGGGGAGTACTGGGTTTGGTGGGAGCCAGTAGTCGAGTGGGACCGATGTGGGGGAGCCAGAATCCCAGCCCAGCAGGGCCGGGGGCTGAAATGGGGGTGTGGAGAGTCCCAAGGAGTCAAATCCCAGGCCCTAGGGGGGCTCTGGCCCCATCTAATGGCTCCCTCCCTCCCCCTCCCTCCCCCCCCCGTCTCTCTCTCTCTTTCTATCGCCGGGCTGGTGTGTGTGTGGGGAGAATAGCGTGTTTTCTTCCGGCCACGGCCCCTGCAGCCTGTGGAATTGGCAGACGAGCCTGGGCCTGAGGGTCAGACTAGGGGCAGATGCCATGACCGTCCCAGCCAGCTCGCTGAGATCGTTGTCCAGGGAGGGGCCTCGGCCTGTAGGACAGTGCCCGCTCTCAGCCTGCTGCCCTGTGAGGGTGTGGCCCTCTGGCCCCTCGCCTCCCTCACTGCCGTCCCCCCAGCAACACCTGGGCCGTGGCTCAGTGTCCTGCTGGCGGAAACCTTGGAAGCCATGCCGTGCGTCTGCGGCTGCCCGCAGCACGATCAGTTGTCGAGGTTCTTCTGCTCGGGTTGCATTGGCCTTGCAGGGTTCAGTGCCTGGTGCTGATTTGCCATCCCTGCCTGTCACGGCGGAGATGAGGCCCCGACACCAACGCGCCCTGTGCAGAGGCGCCTCAGACCTCAGCTTGTTTCCACATGCACCCCGCCCCCCCCCCAAGTCAGGGCCAGGGTTCCCCCGGCTGAGTGGGCGGGGGTGGGGCAGGGCAGGGGGCTGGGAGAAGGACCACGCCCTGCCCTGGGATCTGGTAGGAGCCCACCCACAGGTGCTCAGTTGCAGCGGAGACGGTCTCCTCTGTTGGGCAAGGACTCGACCCAGAGCCTCCTCCGTGCAGGGCGGGGCAGTAACCCTAACTGCATGTCACTTGCTCTCTTCAGACCGTTCTCCGGATTGTGGTGCTTGGGATCTGGGATTACATCGAGAACAAAATAGAGGTAAAGACCAACACCCACCTCCCCACGCCACCCAGTCTGGGTGCTGGGATGTCGCTGTCCCCTGAGCCTGGGCCTGCAGCCAGGGAAAAAGGCTGCCCCTTCCCACCTACAGACAGGGGTCCCCAGGGTGGGGCACAGGGGGCGGGAAGACTGAGGACATTCCCAGTAAAGGGACGTCTAAACAGTCCAGTGAAGTGCTGAAGAATTCTAATTTATTCTTTAGCCATTTTGGAAAGCTTTCGGAATGTGTTACGAACAAATGCATGAGCTCTGAAACGGCCCTGTGGGGAGGGGGGGCGGTGGGAGCTGAGCTGCCCGGGGCTTCTGAGCTGGTTTCTCAGAGCAAAACCCCTGCTCTGCCTTGTGAGTGAGGTGAATGGGGTGCATGGTCAGGGGAGGTGGGGAGGCCTGGCTGTCACACAGCAGTGGCCAAGGTGGACAGCGTCTGCCGAGGTCCCCTGCCTTGCCTCCCACCCACTCTCAGCCTCTCTAGCTGAGCAGACCGAGGGCCTGGCTATGGAGGTCTCGGGAAGGCCAGGCTGGGGCAGCAGGTGGCAGGTCAGGGCCCAGGGCCCCTCATGCCCCTGTGCTGCCTCCCCGCAGACAGAGACGAGAGGCAGGCTGTGGGTCCTGCTACCCAGGGGGCCCTGCGGGGCTCAGTGAGGCTTGTCCCCACCCTGAGAAGGGACATGGTTCTGGAAACAGACTCTGGGAAAAAAAGGCTTGAAACGGCCAGAGGCTGTGGGAACAAAGGATGGAGATGGTAGGGGGCCAGAGGGTGAAGCCTGCTCAGGAGCATTTCTGGTGGGGGTTGCCCAAACCCTGAGCAGGGCCTGGGGAGACAGCCAAGGACAGGGCGCCCTTTGTGTATGGAGAGGAGGAGGCGTTGGCCAGATGCAAGAGCTGGGCTGGGCTGGGCTGGGCTGGGCTCCCTCCAGCCCAGGGCCCTGAAATCTGCTCACTGCCAGGTGTTTGACGGGGCCGTGATCATCCTGTCCTTGGCCCCGATGGTGGCCTCCACTGTGGCCAATGGGCCCCGGAGTCCCTGGGACGCCATCAGCCTCATCATTCTGCTCCGCATCTGGCGGGTGAAGAGAGTCATTGATGGTGAGTGGCTGGAAGGACTCGGTGCGGCTGGTGGGGTGACAGGCAGCTGCTCCAAAACCCGAGTGCTCAGGTGAGAGGAGCGAGACCTGCTCCCTGGACTCTCGCTGTGACCCAGAAGGGCTGCTGCAGTGCCAGCCATCACAGCTGCGTCTCAGCCATAGGAAGCAGGAAGGGAGGAGCAGGAAAGCCCCAGTGACCTTTTTAAAAAATATTTTTGTTAATATATAGTCCACACACCATAAAACTTACCTGTTTGAAGTGCACAGTTAGGTAGTTCTTAGTATATTCATAGAGTTGTGGAGACATCACCAAAATCTACATTTAGAGCATTTTTATCACTCAGAAAAACCCAGCCCCACACCCACTCGCAGTCCCCACCCATTCCTCCACACACACCCCTCCTCGGGCCTGGGCAACCACCAATCTACTTCCGGCTCCTACATTTGCCTTGTGGACATTTCACAGAAGTGGACTTGGGGTGCGCAGCCTGCTGTGTCTGCCTTTCCCCACTTGTGTGGTGTTTTCAAGGTGACCATGTGGTAGTGGTGTGAGTGCTTGCTTCTCTTTGCTGAGGAGCCTGCACTGGGTGGACAGGCCACATTTTATGTACCATCTGGTGACGCACACGTAGGTTGTTTAGTTTACACTCTGGCTGCAGCAAACGCTCACATGCACAAGTTTGTATGCACCTGTGTTTCCATTTCTCCGAGGTGCCGGGGGGTGGGATTGCTGGGCCGCGGGATCACTGTTTAGCATTTTGAAGAACGGCCAGAGCGTTTTTTGCAAGGCGGAGGGGCATTTGATGTTCGCACCGGCAGTTCCTCGCCAGCGCCCTCCAGTGGCCTTCCGCAGCACCTGCATGTGCACCCGTCGCGCCGCCCGTGCTTTTGTGGCTGCAGCAGAGGCTGCAAACTGGAGTCCTTAGTCCCAGTTTGAGGGGTTTGTTACTGTAGAAAAGGAGAGAGACAGCTCGATCACCACGGGTCAGGGGTCTAGCCACCTCCGCCCCAAGATCCCTCAGGAACTTCATCTGGATCAGAACCCTTGGAGTGCTAAACGCTGGCACCGCCCTCCCCTGACCCCAGCCCAGCCTTGCCCCCGGCACTGCCAACTCCTCACAGGCCGTCTCCGCCTCGCAGCATATGTCCTGCCTGTGAAGGTGGAGATGGAGATGGTCATCCAGCAGTACGAGAAGGCCAAGGTCATCCAGGATGAGCAGCTGGAGAGGCTGACGCAGATCTGCCAGGAGCAAGGGGTAAGCAACTGCGGCCACGTCTGTTTCTGTCCGGGGCTCAGGCTGATGGTGGTGCCTAAACTCACAGGGGCCCCGGGGCCGGAGACCTCCTGCAGCCCCTTGAGGCCCAGAGCAGGGGAAGTGCGTCTCTAAGGGTGCTTGCGCCCAGCCAGGCCAACTCAGCCGACTCCCAGGCCACGGTGTCTCTCCTTGTCCACAGGGACCAGTCAGCTACAGCCTCAACCAGCTGCGTCACCAGCTCGGTTCATGAGTTTCTTTGGCACAACCGTCCCTGAGGCAGGGGCTGAATTCTGTCCCCTGAGGCTGCTGGGCAGCCCACCCCCACGGTGTCCACTGTGACCCTATCCTGAGTTCTTGGGGACCCCACATTCCTGGTTCAAGACCCCACACCCCACAAGGGGCCACCTTCCCGGAGGTCTCAGCTACAGAGATTCTGCACAGGGAAGAGCCGATAAATAAAGATGTGTTCCCTCCAGGTAGGGACATCTGGAAAAGAGATGAACAGAAACAAACCACTTTAATTTAAAAAGCATCTGAACCCTGTCGGATGGCGGAGTCCCAGAGGGCCCCGGGAAGCTGGGAGGGGTGGGTCAGAGCAGCCAGGCCGCCGATCTCCTGAAGCCTGGTGGAGCCTACGTCACCAGCCCGGCCGACACACGCCTCCTTTTCGGGTGTGTTTTAGGATCAGATCTGAGACCTGACGGGGCAGCAGACACCGTTGAGTAAGTGGGAGTGCAGCTCAGGGAGCGTCAGGGGTGGCCGGGCGCTCGGAGAGGGTGGCGCTGGGATAGGGGAGAACCGGCCTTAGGGCCAGACAGAGGGCAGAGCCAGCCCAGGCGCTTCCTCCGGCAGCTGTAGCTGCACACCGCCCTGTGGGTCTGGGCTCCGACGGGACCTCTCTGGGCCTCGGTCTTCCTCCTCTGAAAACTGGGGGTGGCTCGGCCTGAAGCCTGGCATGTGACACAAGATGACACATGAGAGCTGACCCCAGACAGTCTGTGCCCCGTGCCCACATACACCCATGTTCAGATGAGAAAACTGAGGGCTGCGGACTTGCCCAAGAGCATACAGCTCACAGAGGGCACTCAGGGGCGGGAACAGAGCCAGGCAGTGTCCCCGCGAGCCCTGCCGTCCCAGCCCGTCATGCGTAGGGCAGGGTCCATGCCCCTCTCCGCCCAGGTCTTCTCCCAGCGCTCAGGGACAGGGACAGGCAGCTCTGCCAGAGGCTCCGAGTTCCCCCTGCAGCCCCCTCCAGGTCCCCTCTGTCACACACACCTGTCTGTCCCCCTTCGGGAGGTCTCAGGGTGCAGGGAGGCAGTTTCCGAACCGGACCCGTGCACACGGCCCGAGAAACTGAAACCCCCCGGAGGTCGGGGAAGGCGCAGCAGCTCCAAGGAAACAAAGCCCCCACTTTGCACTTGACTCGCCCTCTCCAGGGACATGTTTGTACAAGTGTTGTCCCAAACGTCGCTCTTCTGATATCTTTTTAAAATGAACTTTGCCTGGTTGGTGTAGCTCAGTGGATTGAGCACAGGCCTGCGAACCAAAGCTCCGCCGGTTTGATTCCCACTCATGGCACATGCCTGAGTTGCAGGCTGTATCCCCAGTAGGGGGTGTGCTAGAGGCAACCACACATGGATATTTCACTCCCTCTCTTTCTCCGTTTCCCCACCTCTAAAATAAATAAGTAAAATCTTTAAAAAAAATGAACTTTGTTTTTTAGAACAGTTTTAGATTTATAGAAAAATCGTGGAGATAGTTCCCATGTCCACACCCCCATCTATTGTCCCCACGATAACAGTGTACGTTGCATTCACACACTGAACGCAGGTCCCAGTTACCTGGGAACCAGCGTTGGCACCTTCCTCCTCCAGTCCTGCACCGTTCAGAGTCCCTTCCTGCACACACCAGGCTCCTCCTGTCTGTGAAGGTGCTCACACGGTCCTTGTTTTCACTGACCTTGGCGGTTCGCAGGGCCGGCATGGAGCGAGCCCTGTTGGGTGTGTCTGATGTTTCTCGTGGTTCGATTGTGGTCACGGGTTTGGGGGGAAGACCAGAGGTAATGTGCCCTTTGTGTTACCTCACGCCCTGTGGACGGGACGCCACCGCGGCTCTCGACTTTGCTCACTGGCCAGGGCCGTGTTTGTCGGGTCTCTCCACTGTGACGTCACTCTTGTAGTCACCTTAGTTTTTTTCAGAAAGCTTTTGAAATGGCTCTTCCCCGAGGCCCTGGAGACTCGGGTCACAGGGCATCCTGCATAAACGCCTTGTTTGTCTTCTGTGCCGCGTCTGTGCCACGTGGGCGCTCCTTTCCCACCATACGCCGCGTCCTCCATGCCCACGCACCGCCTCACGTCCTGGGAAGGACCCTCACAGGGCATCTCGCCCCTGGACTTGCAGGTGGGGGAACCCAAGGCCCAGCGGAGGATGAAAGAGGGCGCTTCCCCCGGACAGCACCACCCCTGGTCTGCACAGAGAGGTGGGCCAGGGCCTCCCTCATCCGCCACTTGGTCCTTAACAGCTTCCTTCTGCAAAGGGGAGCTTCCGGCCCGGTAGGGAGCCTGGGCTGGCCTGCAGGCAGCTGGCAGGCTGCTCCCCGCTGTGATGGCCCCTGGCCCCCAAACCCCACAGTCCTTAGGCGGGAAAGTGACTGGGGCGCAGGAGGCCAGTCACGGCCCTTCAGAGAGACGTGGGGAACTTTTCATGTCTGTGGCACTGGCGGCTGCAGAAACCGGAGCCACTTCAGGGGCAGTGGTTAAGTCAGTGCGACGACAGGTTCTGCCCATGGATGTTGCGGACCACGTCTGAGGTTTTGTGCAGGTTGGTCCTCACCTCTTGCTCTGCTTTTCCAACATGTTGTAAAGTCCCCGTGTGTACCTTTGCCCGGGGAGCCTTGCAGCAACCCACAGCCCAAAGCAGTGTGGCCAGGCCCTCGGCTGAAGTTCATTTCTCTTCCCTGCTTGGTCTTGTGGGAAGAGCGGGAGAAAGGGACGTTTTCCATCCTCAGCTTCATCCACCCTGCGACCATTCGGCCATGGGGCAGGGGTGACCATGGTCCGCAGGCAGGCGTCAGTCCCTGCAGGGGAGTCCTGGGTGGGCAACAGGTTCTTCTGACTTTAGCTCCACCAGCCAGGGGCTGTCTCCCCTTATCCGGAGCTCAGGTCCCGAGCTGGGAACATGGCGGGAACGAGGTGTACCGGACGGGGACGCTGCGAGGACCAAGCTCGGCAGTGCAGTCTGGCTCGCTGCCGTCCCCCAACAAGTGGGAGCAGGGGAGGGAAAGCACTCGGTCACTCGTCCGGTGGTGCCCACCGTGCACAGGTGCCCCGTCCCACGCTTGTGCTCATGGCGACCTGGACGGCGGCCGTGGGCAGGCTCTGCGCCGCTCACGAATCCCTCTGTGGAAGCAAGGACGGAGGCTGCAGGAGGCCGCTGGCCACCTGAGTCTCTCGGTTTGTCTCTGAAGGCTGGGCGGGCAGCTGGGGGCGGCGGCATCGGCCCTCTGCCTGCAGAAGCCGGCCCCGGGTTCGAGTCGCTGTCGGAGGATCGGTGCGGGCAGCTTAGCCAGGCAGACTCCGAAATCCTGACGTGCATGTCACCACCGAGTGCAGGGGGCAGGAAGGGCGGGGCGGGGGCCCCCTTCCCCTCAGTCACTGGCCTCCAGCCTCTTCCCGGTTGGTGGCTTCTCCTAAACCCAGGTCCTCTGTGTTTTCTCCCTGAACCCGGGGGCCGGAAGGGCGTGCAGAGCTAGGCCCAAAAGGGAAGATGGCACTTTGGCCTCCGTTATGTTGGTGGACTCAGTTGAACAGTCACACCTGAGGCACCAGATGCTGGCAGAAGTGGGCACCCAGGAGAACAGTCACCTGCACAGCCACCCGATCCCTAAAACTCGCCCCGTGGGCTCCCCACAGGCCCTGCCCCTCCTGCTCCCCACGCAGCAGCAAGGGGCACAGTCACATCCTCGATCCTCCCTGCGTGAGCGCTCCTCTCCCGGTGCTTCCTTAGGAAACAAGGGGGTCGTCTGCTCCCCAAGCTGTAGGCACCCCTGGGGGAGGCAGGGTGCGGCGGGTTCTGCTGCCCTGGTCAGGGGCCCGGCCCGTCTGCGCCAGGTGTAGTCCTCACTGTTGCTGCCTGACACCCTGAGAAAAGGTCCCTGTCAAATGACTCGCCTTTGGGGCTGGGCCTCCGTGGGTCAGGAAGAGCGGGAAAGGGCTTCTGTCTGGGCTCTGCAGTGATGCTTGCTTGATGCTGGTTCATTCCAGAGAGTTCCCCCCCCTTTTCCTGCAGAGGCCAGGAGGCCCCAGCTCAGTGCCCTCTGTCACCTTGGTTGTTCAAGGTCTTCCCTGAGGGATGTTAAGAGTCTTTGTTTATGTTTTTTAAATGGGGAACCGATTCGTACAACAGACGATAGCTCTAGTGAAAAACGTGCTTGGCTGATGAAATTAGCCATCACAGGACTGACTTGTTACCCTTTGGCCATAATCTAAATGTATGGCAGCTACCGGACCTCCTCACAGTGGGTGGAGAGGAGCCAGGGTTGAAATCGGCTGCACCCTGTTCCTGCACCGTGAGTGCGCAAGTGCCTGCTGATTTCTGTTGTTGCCAACAATGGCCAAACTAATGGAAATAAACATTGGACGCCGTCCGAGCAGCAGATGGGTGTGGAGGCAGGGCCGTCTGTGCGGGCAGCACTAATAGGACGGAGAGAGGGATCGCTGTTGCATTAGAGACCATTGAGCTTCTGGCCAGAGTGCACATCTATCGGGCCGAGGCCATGCCCATCGTACTCCACACCCCAGAGCCTTCCCAGCCGAGCCCCTTGGGGGTGCTGCCCCACCCAGGGGAAGGGCTGGCTCCCTCCAGTAATGCACGCTGGGCTTCCCTGTGGAGCTGGTGGCCTCATCAGATGATCTGATTACGGATGCTCAGCTAATAAAGTGCACTAAGTAGGGGGGTGAGGGGAAAATTCTTCCCATTTTTTCTTCAAAGTAGCCCCCCCA